TTTAGATACAACAACACTACAAGTGGTGAGCTGTAAAATGATGTTTTCTTTATAAAGATCAGCTCCTTCACGGAAGGACACCGGTGAAGGCATCTCTTATACAGAAGTGAACAGATTTCATCATGAAACTGATCAACAAAGCACAGTTTCCACGGGCCACCTGCCAGAATATGGCACTAGCTTTGTTATAGAGAACCAGATGTTACAACGGACTTTGCTACAATTTTCTATATACCAGAAAATGGTAAGCCACATTCATTGGTATGTAACTACAAATAGGAAATTTTTAACCATCAAAACTCAAAAGGACCCAAGTTCAATTTCCTTGCACTGCACTCCAAACTTTGAAATTCTCACTGGGTCTATCTTCAATTACATACTTTAGACAGCAAAACTCACAATGCTAACATCATATGATTTCCATAACACAATAAGTAAATTTGTATGAAAATCAAATTTCTATGAAATTAATCATGCATTCATCCAATAAATATTTCTTAAGCATTTACTTCAGGAAGCTCTACTGGAAGCAAAGGAGACATAATCACTTCTCTCATGGAGGGAGTAGCCTGGTGGAGGCAACCAACACCCACTCATGAAGAGGAAGTACAGGGTGCTATGAACACACAGCAGACGGGCACCCCTCCCAGAAGCAGAGGGTCCAGGAAAGGTGACATCTGGTCCAAGCCCAGAAGGAGAAATAGGAGTTAGCCAGGGAAAGAGGGAACAGCATGGAGAAAGGTCAGAGGCACATTCAAAGAACCAAAGGAAGTTCAGGATGAACATAAAGTGAAAGGAGAGAAATGGTAGGTGACAGGGCTGGAGGCATACTAGAAAAAAGCCTTGTAAACCACGAAGAAGAGTCTGAACCTCATCCAGAGAGCAGCAGGGAGTCTTGAAGGGTTTTAACAGCGGGATAACTTGGCTGCAGCGTGTAGAAGACCTGGGGCGAAGAGCAAGACAGACAGCAGGGAGGACACTTAGGAGGTGATTGCAGTAATGCAGGTAAAAGAAGATGGCGGCCTGAACTCACACAGTGAAACTGGACTGGAGAGAAGAGATAAGACTGAGAAATACAAAGGAAGTAGAATCCTTTTTTTTTTCATTGATTTTAAATGTATCTTTAATTAAACCTCATTTGCATTACAAATTAATATTCAACTGCCAGGGGAGCTTACTATGATTTCTATGTTTCCCCAAACTTCAAAGGTTTAGTGATCTATCAGTGGTCACTAGGTACAATGGAATTGCAGTACTTTACAATGCCAATATAGATCTATGGCCCCCTTATTTTGTGGCAGAATGTGTTTCCAGACTGAGAAATGGGAAGATTTTAGGAAGGTAAAATGGTGCCTATACTTTATATTATGTAACACCCTCAGGTAGGGCCTGGGATAAGACTCTGTAATCGAAGGTATTCATAATTTGCAGCAAAATGTATGAATAGTCACACTAAAGGGAATGAAAAAAGAGAGTTTGGGTCGGGTTTTGCTAGAGTTCAAGTCAGGTCTTGCTGCCAAATAAGTAACAAAAGAACTTGAGGTTATTCAGAGCTCTGGGTATTTCAGAATTACAGATAAGGGATGGTGGATCTATAATCACATCTCAATTCCTATGCTAAGTTTGGATTTTTATATGAAAACTGCACCCTTAGCAAGCATTTTACTCCAAAGTACCAAAGTACTTGAGAAGAGAATGCAGACAAGGAAATAATTATAAGATCCCATCAGTAGGGCCGGCCCCGTGGCTTAGCGGTTAAGTGCGTGCTCTCCGCTGCCGGCGGCCCGGGTTCGGATCCCGGGTGCGCACCGAGGCACCGCTCTTCCGGCCATGCTGAGGCCGCGTCCCACATACAGCAACTAGAAGGATGTGCAGCTATGACAGACAACTATGTACTGGGGCTTTGG